GCAAACCATGTGACCAACAAAGGATTAATTGCCAAAATTTACAAACAGCTCATACAACTCAATAAAAACATACAACCTAGTCCAAAAATGGGCAGAAGACCTAAACAAAATTCTCCAATGAAGACATACAAATAGCCAATAAGCACATGTAAGATGCTCAACATTGCTAATTTAATCAAAACTACAATAGATATCAGGATGGTCAGAATGGTCATCAGTAAAAAGTCCACAAATGATAAATGCTGGAGAGGGTGTAGAGAAAAGGAAACACTCCTACACTGTTGGTGGGAATTTAATTTGGTGCAACCACTATGGAAACAGTACTTAAACAACTAAAAATAGCATTGCCATATGATCCAGCAATCCCACTCCTGGGCACTTATCCAGAGAAAACTCTAATTTGGAAAGATACCTGCACCCTAATGTTTACAGCAGCACCATTTACAATAGCCAAGATATAGAAGCAACCTAAATGTCCACTGACAGATGACTGAATAAAGAAGATGTATATGAAATAGAATATTACTCAATCATAAAAAAAGAATGAAATAAGGCCATTTGCAGCAACATGGATGGACCTAGAGATAATCATAGTCAATCAGACAAAGACAAATATCATATGGTATCTCTTATATGTGGAGTTTAAAATACAATACCAATGAACTTATTTACCAAACAGAAACAGACTCACAGACATAGAAAACAAACTTTTGGTTACCAAAGAGGAAAGGCTGGAGGAGGGATAAATAAGGGGTTTGGAACTAGCAGATACAAACTATTCTATGTAAAATAGATACATAACAAGGACCTACTGTATAGCAAAGGGAACTGTATTCAATATATTGTAATAATTTATAATAAAAAATAATATGAAAAATATCTACGTATGTATAACTGAATGACTTTGCTGTACACCAGAAATGAATACAACACTGTAAATCAGTTATAGGAAGGTGATCTTTGTACTATTTATATTTTTTGCAATTTTTTATAACTTTGAAACAATTTTCAAATAGAAAGTTAAAAAAAAGTAACCACAACATCATGTATCAATTCTGATTAAGTTAGACATTATAGTATTTCCTTTCCACTTCTTCTTTCTTTTCTTTCCCCCTTTCTTCCCCCTCCTCCTCATTCCCTGTCTCTCTGTCTCTACCTCTTTCTGTCTCTCTTGTCCCCCTTCCCTTTCTTCCTCCTTCTGTCCTTCCTTCTGTATCATATAGATGAATACAGTTAGGGAACGTTTGGCTTACTGACATGTTCTACAGATTGAAATAATTTTAGATTCAGGAATTAAAGGAAAACATTGGCTAGATCCAGGATAGGTGCTGTGCTTGGGAGAAATGGCAACAGAGATACAAGATGAGGTAAGGTGATCCAGAACTCATCTTTGGTTGTCTGTAGCTTGAGTAAAATAATCATGATAATGGCTATACCTTTACAAAATTTACAGGAAAATCCCTGCTTTATTTTGATTTAAAAATGACCATATGTCTACACCAAAATTTGTCAGGGTGTCGTAGAGGTTAGTAATGTGGGCTGAACCTGAATTTAAACCCAGCCTTTTCCATTTACCACCTGGTTGATATTGGACAAACTGCTTAACCTTTTTGTTCCTCAGATTCCTCATCTCTTTTTAAAGTTTTTAGAAAAAATGGCAATAAATGCTTCAACATTAGCTATTACTAGTCTCAATCTTAATAATATTTGTAGATGATGTAGTATTTTTAACCATATATTATAAGATGTCATCAGTTTTGGAAATAACTTTTGCACAAGCCTGTGGAAATAGAGGGAAAAGGAAGAAGTCAACAATTCACTCCCCGGTTCCACTCTGATCCATCTCTTTGTAGGTCAGGTGGAATGTGGGACACGCTACTATTGAGATGGACTTTGCAGATTTCAAAGGGAACAATAGGATCCCAGAATAGCAGAGGTCAGGTGGCAGCACGTAGTTGCTTATTTTTATCACAATAATAGATGCTGGACGGTCAGTTTTCGCCTGTTTATCTCCCATGCTGATGGGCTGTGTTTATTTTGTTGAGATGGGGGCTCAAATTGAACACAACACTCTTTGCCTTGTTATTTTCGATGGATAATGTTACCAGTCTTGCCCATCTACAAGTGGAGATGGCTTGTCAGTCCAGTGGGGCTCCATATACACTAAGTACAACCACATTTTATTGGTGGATCTTTTCCAGGTTGCTTGCTTGGTGCTTTTCAAAATGCGCTGAGTAGCTGTTTGGGATTTGTCTCTGCTGACTCCACTGGGCTCAGTTTCAAATCTCTCCTAATCCACTAATGAACCTTTATTAAAGTGGGAGAGAGGTTGAATCAGTCTTTGGACACATTATTAAAATAAAGTTGGAGCAGTGAAAAGATGAAAAGAGAACGATAAAGGAACACTTGATCTCCCTTCCACATCCTAGTCAGTCTTTTTAAATCTGATTTTTTTGAGAAATGTCCATATTAGTAGGTTAATTTTTACTAGTCTTTAATTTTATTTTTCAAGGCAGCTCTATGAAGAGATGCTCATTCATCAAACTTTCCCCGTTTTTGCTCTTTTGTGATTTAAAGTTCAGGTTGAATAGGTTGATTGCCCATGAGAATTTAAATGATTAAGTAAGCAACGAAATGCCAACCTTTTATTATCCTGAAAAAGTGTCTGCTTGATCAGTTATTATGAAGCACCCTGATGGTTATTACTGCCTTGGTCCCAGTTCCTCTGCCACCCACTCATGGTTCCCTGTGTCTAGGACACCCTGAGTCTATAATGACTTATGCTGAACTGCAAAGGAATCACCATGTACCTTTTCAAAGATGTCCACTCATCCTTAAAGTCACAAATCAAGGAAGAGATGGCTTCCAGATATGCAATTCAACTTCTGACACCAGACAGCCTTTATTCTGAAATGTCTCTGTTTTTCTATTAAAATTGTTCACAACTTCTGCTGGTTACTTACTCAAATCTTGGGCAAACAACTTGTGTTGGACCAGGGGGTGCACTGATGAATGTTTCAGAATTCCTGGCCTCCCAAGGAACTTGCATTCTGCCACGTAATTTATTTTATAAGAGGAAGTAATAATAATTTTTAGTCATTGAATTAAAAGAGAAAACCTCAATGAAGCATAATATTGTGTTTAGTACTTGTTTTTGTCAGTTCCCATTTTTTCATTAACTTATTTTTTTGAGGGAGGGATATAGTTAAGTTTATTTATTTATTTATTATTTTTAATGGCAGTACTGGGATTGAACCAAGGACCTCATACATGCCAAGCATGGGCTCTACCACTGAGCTGTACCCTCCCTACTACATTAACTTCTTAATTGGGGGGAAAATGGCCATTACACAAATCTATTTTTAAATTTAGCCATGGGTATTTGATTTCTCCTTCTCTATCTATCTATATATTTTTATCTCTCCACCTTCTCTCTCTACGTCTGTGTCTTTATTCTTATATATTTATCTTTAGATCTGTATCTGTATCTATATATAGATACATATAGATAACATATACCTTTCTCCATCTCTGTCTATGTATGTAGATATTTGTTATTTCTTTTGGATGAGCTGTATTATTTATCTATGAAAAGTTGCTAATTAAATCAATACTTTTTCTCATCCTAACTTAAAATTATATAGCTTTTGATACTTTGAAGAATGCTTTTGTAATACATTATCTCATATACTCTTTACTAGGAAGAATGATTATCTTCAAATGAGAAAATAGTGGCTCAAAGAAGTCATTTGTTTAAAGTCAGGAAGCTAGTTAGTCATCTCAGAGATCAGCTGTCTGTCTAAGATCAGCAAGCTAGTTAATGATGACAATGAAGTATAAAGAAAATGGTTAATTGTCTTTCTATTTCATGTATTTGTTCTATAAATAGTTGTTGAGTCCTTCTGTACACTAGGTATTATTCTTGATGTTGGGATTCAGTGGTAAGCAAAAGAGAGGAAACCTCTTGGCTTTGTAGAGCTTACATTCTGGTGAGGGAGACAAAAAAGAAATCACACTATGTAGAACTTAAGAAGGTGATAAGGAAGCTGTAGGAAGAAGCTGAGCAGGATGGGGATAAGGAGTCTTGAAGAGTCATGGTTTATAAGTTAAGATAAGAGGGTCATAACGGGAAGGAGATATTTGGGAAGTGATTTAAAAGAGGCGTGAGAACAAGTCACAGTTGAATCTGGAGCGATAGCAAAGGCACTGAGGAAGCAGTGAGCCACATGTGGTTGGAACAGCATGGAAAAGGGTTCCTTTGGGAGGTAAGATCTGAGATGTGAGGGGTTGGGGGGGAGGGGGCAGGTGAAGGTGTGGGCTCAGCAGAGGGTGCTGGCCCTGGAGGCCACCATAAGGACTTTCCTTCTTCTCTGGGTGATATTGAGGTCCGTTGGGTGGTTTGAGCAGAGGAGTAAACATGCTTTATTATCTGGCTTATTTTAAAAAGGATCATTCTGCTAAATGCCTTGAGAAAAAAACAGCAGGAGGGCATAGGTGGTCACAGGGGATCCCAGTTGTAAAGGTTTTGTAAACTGGGCATATGTCCAAGGAGCAATGGACGTATGCTCTCAAATTCTGTGGTCTAGCTGGGGCTCTTTCCACAAACTGTTGGGAGATCTTGAGACAATTACTTAATGTTTCACTAGAAACGGAAATAAAGCTCAACAGTTAGGAAATGAGCCAATTTCCTCTTACTGCCTACGATTTGTACCCTGCTAGGATCCCCGAGCTTGGTTTTCTTTTCACTTTCTAATGCCAGAGTGTGTGTCTGCTCACCCCACCTCCATCCTCACGGGCTGTTTACTATCAGCTCCGCCTTCCCTTCCTGACCTTCCTCATCACATGCGCAAGACGAGAGGCCACGGACAATGGCCGTGCTAGGCCCTGAGTCATTCTGGAGTTGCAGGTTGCAACCCACAGCCTACACTTTTCATTAAAGCAGTCAAAGCGGAGTTTAGAGATATTTTAAAGGTTAAAACAAGGCAACTTGAACAACCTACCTAATCACTGAAATATTTCATATTGCAGAATTTACAGTCACCGTAGAAGACAGACCACTGTGCTGGAATTCTGGGACTGGGGTATGCCATGTGCATCCATGTATCAGCTCTGTTTTGGTTTCATTTCACTTTAGTTATTTGATTGGGTGTCTGCAAAAGCCCGTGTGCACATTTTTATGAGCCTTGGGACAATTTACTGCCAAGCTTGCCTGAACTCTAAAATATGCTTCTAGTTTCTGAGAACCACAAATTATTTACCAAATAAGCAAGGAAATAGAGGTCATTGAGTTCATTTCTTACATAATTTTAAACTTCCTTTCTGAGTACTGACATCTCCCAGCAGTCAGAGTGATGTGTTTTCAGGCAGAGTCAATAACAAAGAGGAAGGACTAGGAAGTGATAAAGGGGCTAACTGCTATCCTGCTCTGTTTGCTTGCTCTTGATGCTAAATGCCAAGAATCAAAGCTAGAATAGTGGATGGTACGTAGAAAAGAATCCTTCCTTTCCAATTTTATTGTGTTTATAGAGTTGAGCAGGAAATGCTGATAATAACTCTATCTTGCGGGAAGTAAATTTATTTAAGGTGAAAAATGAGTACTTCCCTAAAAGAATAAGTAATCATTAAAATGGAATTAGAGAGCAGTATAGAAAGTAAGTCTTTCGAACACCAACTGGTGTCACTTTCTTCCAAGCTATTTCAAGAGTGACTGCACATAACTAGCACATATATTCAGCAGAAAGAAGAAAGAGTGATGATGAAAGGATGATTCTATGAAATGTAAGGGGAATAAGTAATGGCCTTCAATCAAATGAACAGGATAAAGAAGGAGGGAGTGATAAGTCCTGTGTCTAGTTTGGAACGATGATAACTCAGCTGAGTGAAGTGGGAAGATACGCATAGATAGTTTGAAAGTTAGGAATTTCTTAATAGTTGGCAAATTTCTTATTGTGTAGATTTACGTATGAGAGGTAGTACATGGGTCCATCCAAAGGAGCTAGGACAAAATGTCACTTATTTTGGGGGGAGGTCCTTTCCCCTTCAAATTTTATCTTTTTTTTTTTTTCTTCCTTAGAGGGCAGAGGAATGAGAGGTACTGGGTGCTGGTGGGTCATTTACCTTGGAGATTCCCCTACTATGAAGGAAATAGCTTGTAGAGCCAGCAGAGACCTCTCCCTGGGGCATTCTCCAATTTGTGAATTGAGTATTTGGAGATGAGAGACCAGATGTTTTCATGACATCAGCAGGGTGTAACTGAATCAAGGGATAGGACCCAGAAGGAAATTCAGTGACTGAGAGTAGGGGGCAAGATTCCCAACTGAATTTAGCTATAATTTTAGATGCAGAGAGAAGAGTGCTCCAGAAAGCACTGTTCCAAGGATATTATAAGTTATAAAATTCCTTCATGTTTATGATTTTAATTATCCCTGTTTCCCAAAGTGACCAGCAAAAGAAGGAAATGGATGTGTGTGCCAGAAATTGGAAGGACTATATCCAGTTTCACAGCCAGGCTTGTGGCTGGGGAGGGGATGGTGCAATTCAAAGAAGGGAGAGGGGCTGGCAGTTTCTGGGAGGAGAAGGTAGGAGAGGAGAGCAGGTTTGGTCCATGATAAAAAGACTCATTGGGAACCCAGGCTAATCCCATTGGGATCTATAACACTCCAGACAAAATCCAGAAGGAAAAAGGAGTTGAAATGGACCTGCAGATATTGAACTGTCAGAAATGATTTACATAATGGAAGTTCAGGCTATGAATAAGTTCATTTTTATATATACGTATGATCTATGTAAAGTATGTGCATTTCATATCCATGGTGGTCTCTGTAAAGACTCTTCAATAATGCCTGGCACCTGTTAAGGACTCAATAAATGTTGACTCTTATCTCTGAGTCCACCCACAATTTGTGCCCAATTCTCTATTTTTCTGGTGCTGTGAACAACCTTTAGCCAAGCTTTCTGAAATGTAATTCTGTCCTTTCTAAAGCAAATGCATGTAGAGTTAAGACTCTGTATTCTTGACTCTATATCTTTGGAATTACTTTCTCAGTGTTCCAATGTACTCATATTGGTCAGGCATGGAGATTCTTCTTGCAAATGGTTTTATTTATTTTAATTATAGGACAATTTTAAACAAACAGTTTCTATTATTTCTGAAAAGCTGCTAAAATAGTCAAATAATAAATACAATTTATGCATCTTTCACTTTTGCTTTGAAGTTATAGAATTTAATTTCTCTTTTAAAATTAACAGGATTAAAAAATAATTTGTAGCACATTCCATTTGAGTTTAAAATAAGGTCTTTAGTACAGTGATCATCTCGACCACCTGAATTATGGAGAATCTATTGTCTTCAGCAGTTTGATTTTGATGGAACTAGTTATGGTTTTTTTTGTTCTGTTTGGGGTTAGTTGAAATTCTTGAATGTGAGGGCTTCCCTCTTTAAGATCTTTGGAAAAGACTTGACCATGTTTTCTTCATATATTTCTCCTGCTCTATTCTTTCTTTATTCTTCAGTTAACCCCAATAATAAGGATGCAAAATTTTGCCCTATGATCTGCATATGATCCGTATGTGTATTTTTTTGTTCTCTGTGCTGAAGTCAAATATTTTAGACTAATCTGTCTTTGGGATCATGTAATAAATCTTCTGCTGTGCTATTAAACTCATCCAATGAGTTATTATTAATTTCATATACTATATCTTTCAATCTTAGAATAATGATTTTTATGGATTCCAATTCTTTAATGAAATTCCACATCCTTTCATCATTTTGTCCATATTTTCTTTCAGTTTCTTTAACCCATTAACCATTGTATCAAAGTCTTTGGATGCTAACTACAGTGTCCATTTTTTTTAATTTGCATTTGCATCTGTTGTCTGTTCCACTTGGTTATTGGTCACTCTTTCCTACCTCTTTTCATGTCAGTGATTTATTAGTCTATGACAAATGTTCTATACAGTGCCAGTGTCAAAGCTCTGTATGGTGCTGCTTCTGGCAGACGAGGTGAGGAGCTGATCACTTCACTCCACAGGGCCTGAGCTGAGTCAGGGACAGACGTCTTAGTAAGACTCCTTCCACCTGTAGCTCTGCCTTTCCCCTTAGGCCTGTCTCTCCTGAACTTCTGACTGCGAGCTCTGACAGACCTTGGGAGATTAGGTCCATCCTTTAGTATCTTGCTTCACACTGCTTCCAGATTTGATGGATGTCTTGGGGAGATTGGTGATGGTTCTGAGCCAGGCCCCTTTTCTTAAGTGGGGCTTTTTCTCTTACTTATTATGGGAATACTGGAGATTTTAGTCTCCCTTACAGAAGTTTTCAAACCTTATGCTCAGCCCCAGGATTCAGCAAAATGCTATGGGCCAAACTAACCAAGCATTTACGGATGCTTTAGTTTCCAAATCATTGTGGTCCCTTATTTGAAAGCCAAAATATTGGCTGGTCTCTCTTTGCCATCTTACGATCCTTCTGTGTGGCCCGGGTCTTATCCTCAGACTGCAGTTAGAATCGGCAAGTGCTTCAGGGAAGAAAATAGCCCTTGGAAGGCAACTCACCTTCACAAAGCTCTCTGCTCCTCTGTTGAATTTTTGTTCATTTATTTCTATTTATTTCCACAATCTCTGATCTCTTATTTTCTTTCAATTTTTTTTCTTTTTTTTTAATTGAAGTATATTCAGTTCACAATGTTGTGTACATCAATTTCTGGTGTACAGCGTACTGTTTCAGTCATACATATACATACATATATTTATTTTCATATTCTTTTCCATTATAGGTTACTATAATGTATCAAATACAGTTCCCTGTACTATACAGAAGAAGTCTCTGATCTCTTTAAATGTGATTTTTGAAATCAATTTATACTTTTTAGTTGGCGCAAGAATGTATTCTGCTGCAATCAATTGCATTCTACCTGAAACCGGAAGTCCCCCTGGGGCCTACTTTTAAGAACTTGGGACAGCTATGTCCTTCCAACTTAATAGCCTATAAGGAGGTATTTACATATTTTTCCAGGAGCTCCAGGTGAGACTGTAACAAAGAAAAGTGTGGTTGTTTGTATGTGACAAGTAGAGTTTAAAAATTACATTTGCAGATCCTGAACTACAAATTTTTGTATCTGCAGATGCTACCATCTGTAAGTAGGTGAACAGCAAGGTCTTGCTGTGTAGCACAGGGAACTATATCCAAAACCTTGTAATAGCCTGTAATGAAAAAGACTATGAAAAGGAATATGTATATAAAAAACGGAATCACTATGCTGTACATTAGAAATTAGCACAACATTGTAAATTGATTATACTTCAATAAAAAATTAAATTAGTATGCCAAAAGTTCAAAGAGAATTCTATTTTCTGGTAATTTACACTCCTATCACATACAAGAATAATGATAGTATTGAAAAAGCCAAATTAATCACTTTTTTTCCCAATATGGGAAATATTTGTCATGATGAATACTGTAGGAAAGATTGTAATATTTGAATCTTGCGGGTGATAATGGGACCTTAAAGGTCTTGGCGTGGGGCCCACATGAAAAGCCCGACTCTCCTTTTTTCTCTGCATTGATGGAGGGAGAACAGGGCTTACTGAGAGCTATGTGGCTGCCCACGGAGCTTACCCTGCACACCTCAGTGCAAGAAAGGATGTTAGTCTGGATGGGAACCTAGGAAAGTGCTGGATCCAGGGAACGTCCACTGAGTCAGTGGACTGACGTCTAAGGAAGTGGCTGTCATCACCCTTAAGTGTGGTGGCTGTGTCTGTGACTTCAGTAGACCCTTTTGTGTGTCTTGAATAAATACTCCTTTTGGAACTGAACTTCAGGAATCCTTCATTTTGGTCCGCTCTGGTTTTCTTTCTGGCTTTTCTACCACCATGATACCCCAACTCTGCTCTTCATGTAAGTTTCCCTGACCACATGGCTGTACCTTCGCATTTTAAAACACTTAACAGACTTTATTTTATTTAATCCTTATAATGAACTCGCGTGACTCGGCCTGGCCTAAGTTCCACCTTATAGACAAAAAAAAAATCACAGGTTGGGAAGTTAAGCACAATCAGTCATGGTAGTGACAGGACTCAAAATCAGGTCATTTTACTTCTTTTTTTTCTTT